TTTTCTTGATAGTACCATTGATAGATTGTCTACAACTTTCAACTATCTGAAGGTAATAGATATAGAGCTTCTATCAATGAAAGGAGGGGAAATCCTGGGATTTGTTTGGTTGCTAAAGATGTTTCTTAATCAAGAGGTTCTTTGCATTTAAGTGTGCTCCGAAGAATATTCTCATATTATGTTGCATTTCTCTTTGTTGTTTCCTTTCCTTTCTGGTTATCAAAGTACCCCTACGAGATGAAGTATTTAACATTTTATCGATTTACAACTATTCTAACTCATGATCATGTATTTTAAAAATTTTTATTTTGAAATTGAATCAAAAGGCATTTGTAAAAATTTAAATAGTTCATCCATTATGGGTATTTGAATAAATTTCCCCAGATATGGTGCTCTAGTTTCTCAATATAGGTGGTTTCATTCTATTTTTTGACTTTTTTTCACCTTATTTTCATTCGGAGGTTCGTGAGAGAACAGGATCTTGTGGCCAAGTGGGTGGAAATTATTGGAAGAAGTTCATTTTTTATTGTGGAATTTTGTTAGTTTGTCTAAAAAGAGTGAAAATAACATTTTATTTCAAGGGTGAAGAGAATATGGAAATTAGATGGTTTATTTTTTCCATGCCGAAGCATTGGATTGCTTGTGTATCCACATTTTGAATCCAGATAAAAAATCGAAGATTGTGGAGATGTTGGATTCCTTTTCTAGAGCTTCTTCTGGTGCCAAGATCATATTCAACTAGACTTGTAAGTTCATAACATTTCTTTAGGTACTTGAGAGCAACTTGTTATCTTCATTTTTGGAAAAGTTTAGGATGACTTGGGAATTGGGTACATGAGTATTATTGCATTCAAAATTCTTGAAATTTCTTAAAACTACACTATAATACTTTGAAATTTGAAATATTCATTGTATTGACATGAAAATGAGTGTTAAATTTCATTAATTTGCCTTTTCACATTAATTGCTATGTGTGGCATTTGATGAAGAACTCAGGACCACTACTAGTCTCGTTACTTATTTTTTGCATTGGATGTTTTTCTATACAACAATCTCAATCATGTAGGAATCACCTTTTTTTTGAGCATTATAACTGTCATCCCTCATTTTCTTTATGTCAATTCATTTATACCCAGGTATCTTGGGATTTCCAATAGACTGGGTTAGATCGTCAAACACAGTCCTGTATTAACAAACATCATTTACTTAGCATGGTCATCGTGCAACCACACTCTCAATGAGTTTATATTCCACAATAATAAATAATTTTCATTACACACTCACATAAGGCCTTTAAAGGCCACATAAACCCAACATTAACGACAATCGTCTTCGTCTTCATGCCAATCATTCGTTTCTTTGAAATTAGTATTTTGCCGTTTTGATGCCCCACCCGACTTCAATGGCTTCAGCTCTCTAAAATTTCTCTCTCTAAAAGTTGTTATTCTCAGCGATGAAATTCTTGACTCTACTGTTTCCAATAGCAAGAAGTTGCACTGCTTGAAATTAAAGTATTGCACGGGTCTCTCTCTTGTCGAGGTTCATGCCGCAAACATTCTCTCTTTTCGCATCAATGCCTACGCATCAATGCCTATTTTGATGATATTGATCTCATCAGGGATAGTTCCACTACTAACTTAAAGAAGCTAAAAATATATAATCTCGATCAGTTTCCTTAGGATCGTGTTCTTAGATACATTATCTTGAGAGTCTCGTCAAATTGGAATCTCTTCACTTATCTGGTTTCTCTATTAGGGTGAGTGTTGCCTCTGCATATTTTTTGTTCTTCTTAATTATTTCTGCAATTTAACAAATCTCTTTGATTACATGTTTCCATCGTTCTTTCCCACGGGTTTTAGCTTTGCTTACAAGTTTTGTTGTTATGGCAGTATTATGTTCTGTGTGGCACTTTGGTTTGAAGGATATGTGTGAGTTGTGTGTTTACTATAGTGGTAGTTTCTTATATAACTGCAGGATTTTTGCGGTGATTTTCTTGATAGTACCATTGATACATTGTCTACAACTTTCAACTATTATAAAGGTGTTAGATATAGAGCTTTTGTCAATGAAAGGAGGGGAGATCATGGGATTTGTTTGGTTGCTAAAGAAGTTTCTTAGTCTAGAGGTTCTTCGCATTCAGATGTGCTCCGAAGAATATTCTCATATTATGTTGATTTCTCTTTGTTATTTCCTTTCCTTTTTGGTTATCAAAGTACCCCTACAAGATGAAATATTTAACATTTTATTGATTTGCAACTATTCCAACTCATGATCATGTATTTTTTAAATTTTTATTTTGAAATTGAATCAAAATACATTTGTAAAAATTGAAATAATTCATTCATTATGGGTATTTGAATAAATTTCCTCAGAAATGGTGTTCAAGTTTCTCAATATAGGTGGTTTCATTCTGTTTTTTGACATTTTTTGCCTTCTTTTTATTCGGAGGTTCGTGAGAGCAAAAGATCTTGTGGCCAAGTGGGTGGAAATTATTGGAAGAAGTTCATTTTTTATTGTGGAATTTTGTTAGTTTGTCTAAAAAGAGTGAAAATAACATTTAATTTCAAGGGTGAAGAGGACATGGAAATTATAAGGTTCATTTTTTGCATGCCGAACCATTGGATTCCTTGTGTATCCACAGTTTGAATCCAGATAAAAAATCGAAGATTGTGGAGATGTTGGATTCCTTTTCTAGAGCTTCTTCTGGTGCCAAGATCATATTCAACTAGACTTGTAAGTTCATAACATTTCGTTCGGTAGTTGGGAGCAACTTGTTATCTTCATATTTGGAAACGTTTAGGATGACTATGGAATTGGGTACATGAGTATTATTGCATTCAAAATTCTTGAAATTTCTTAAATATTCATTGTATTAGCATGAAAATGAGTGTTAAATTTCATGTCTTTTGCCTTTTCACATTAATTGCTATCTTTTGTATTTGACTAAGAACTCAGGACCACTACTAGTCCATTTACTAGAAACCCATTATCTGAAATTACTTCTTTTTCGCATTTGTTGTATTTCTATACAACAATCTCAATCATGCAAGAATCACATTTCTTCTGAGCATTATAACTGTCATCCCCCATTTTCCTTATGTCAATTCATTTATGGCCGACTGGCCTAGATCATCAAGCACAGTCCGGTATCAACAAACATCATTTGCTTAGCATGGTCTTTGAGGGACCACACTCCCACTGAGTTTATGTTCTACTATAATAAATATTTTTCATTACACACTCATAAAGCCTTTAAAGGCCACATAAACCCAACATCGACTGCAATCGTCTTTGTTTTCGTGTGAATCATTGGTTTCTTTGAAATTAGTATTTTGCCGTTTCGATCCCCCACCCGGCTTCAAGGGCTTCAGCTCTCTCAAATTTCTCTCTCTAAAAGTTGTAATTCTCAGTGATAAAATTCTTGACTCTACTGTTTCCAATAGCAAGAAGTTGCACTGCTTGAAATTAAAGTATTGCACGGGTCTCTCTCTTGTCAAGGTTCATGCCGCAAACTTTCTCTCTTTCCGCATCGATGCCCATTTTGATGATATTGATCTCATCAGGGATAGTTTCACTACCAACTTAAAGAAGCTAAAAATCTATAATCTCGATCAGTTTCCTGAGGATCGTGTTCTTTAGATACATTATTTTGAGAGTCTCGTCAAATTGGAATCTCTTCACTTATCTGGTTTCTCTATTAGGGTGAGTGTTGCCTCTGCATTTTTTTGTTCTTCTTTATTATTTCTGCAATTTATGAAATCTCTTTGATTACATGTTTCCATCGTTGTTTCCCATGGGTTTTGAGCTTTGCTTACAAGTTTTGTTGTTATGGGTGTATTATGTTTTGTCTTGTATTTTGGTTTGAAGGAAATGTGGTAGTTGTGTTTACTATAGTGGTAGTTTCTTGTTAACTGAAGGTTTTTGTGGTGATTTTCTTGATAGTACCGTTGATAGATTGTCTACAACCTTCAATTATCTAAAGGTGTTAGATATAGAGCTTCTGTCAATGAAAGGAGGGGAGATCATGGGATTTGTTTGGTTGCTAAATAAGTTTATTAATTTAGAGGTTCTTTGCATTCAGGTGTGCTCCGAAGAATATTCTCATATTATGTTGCATTTCTCTTTGTTATTTCCTTTCCTTTTTGGTTATCAAAGTAACCCTACAAGATGAAGTATTTAACATTTTATAATCATGTATTTTTTAAATTTTTATTTTGAAATTGAATCAAAAATACATTTGTAAAAATTTAAATAGTTCATCCTCATGATCATGTATTTTTTAAATTTTTATTTTGAAATTGAATCAAAAATACATTTGTAAAAATTTAAATAGTTCATCCATTATGGGTATTTGAATAAATTTTCCCAGATATGGTGTTCAAGTTTCTTAATATAGGTGGTTTCCTTCTGTTTTTTGACTTGTTTCTCCTTCTTTTCATTCGGAGGTTCGTGAGAGAAAAGGATCTTGTGGCCAAGTGGGTGAAAATTATTCGAAGAAGTTCATTTTTTATTGTGGAATTTTGTTAAAAGAGTGAAAATAACATTTCATTTCAACGGTGAAGAGGATATAGAAATTAAAAGGTTCATTTTTTGCATGCCGAAGCGTTGGATTCCTTGTGTATCCACATTTTGAATCCATATAAAAAATCGAAGACTGGAGATGTTGGATTTCTTTTCTAGAGCTTCTTCTGGTGCCAAGATCATATTCAACTAAACTTGTAAGTTCATAACATTTCTTTCGGTACTTGGGAGCAACATGTTATCTTCATATTTGGAAAGTTTAGGATGACTATGGAATTGGGTACATGAGTATTATTGCATTCAAAATTCATGAAATTTCTTAAACCTACACTATAATACTTTGAAATTTGAAATATTCATTGTACTAACATGAAAATGAGTGTTAAATTTCATTATTTTCCCTTTTTACATTAATTGCTATGTGTGGTATTTGACTAAGAACTCAGGACCACTACTAGTCTATTTACTAGAAACCCATTATCTGAAGTTACTTATTTTTTGCATTTGATGTATTTATATACAACAATCTCAATCATGCAGGAACCACCTTTCTTTTGAGCATTATAGCTGTCATCCCTCATTTTCCTTATGTCAATTCATTTCATATTCATCAATCTCTCTGAGGTTGGAAACTATACCCTCTATTACTGCTTGCTCTGTTATTGGCCCTCTCAGTTGAACTTGGGAATCAAAGGATTAGTCCTTTGACCTTCGAGGCTATTGTGGGCATTGATTATTTTTGTATTAGTTTGAAATTTTGTGCTATGTTGTGGCAATTTTCTTAGTTATAGAATGGGCATCTTATGAATGTGAAGCTTGATTATGACTACTACATGGCCTCTGTTTAGAGCGTCTCTTGTTGTTTGAGACCATTGCCCTTTTATCTGATACTGTTATTTGTAGTACATGGCCCCATTTCTTGTATCTTTTGTGAAATTTGATGCTTACTGCACGTTAATTTTGTCAAGAAAATTGGTCAGAAAAATTCGAAATTGGCAAAAAAGGAATGAACTTGAGAGCCGAGTTCTCATTTGTTGTATTGCTCAGTATATGTCGAGATGTTGACCAGTTTCTGATTTTCTTTTATAGGTGCTGCATCGTGGGGAGACTTGAACTTTCAGTGGATGAAAAGCTTGCGATTCCATCTGCAACCAATGTAGGTATCAATTCTGATTATTGGATTTTAAGTATAACTCACGAGTCAGAGAAAGATTTTGGATTGCTAGACATGAGGGTGAATTTGAATTACTTATTGTGGGCTGATAAGCTATCACCGTAAAATCTCATGGGGTGAAATCGATGGACTCTTTAGCCATCATGGTTTTTGCTGGTAGTCATCGTATGGATGATGACATGTAGCGGCTTCAAGTGCTGAGTAGAAGAAATGAGCTCAATATGGCTTCTTCTGCAAATTAAGTAACCAGAACGAGGGTTATTACTGGATTTCTATGCAATACTTCACCTTTAAATCAGTGAGAGTGGGTCTACAAAGAGATAGAGAGTAGTTCCTTGGATGTTGCAGATGTTGGAAATTGGTGGGTAAACAGGGCAGGATGCGAAAGTAATAAGAACTTTTGATGTCCCTCGGATATAAAAACTTCATTATCACAAGACAGTTTCCTATTAATAATAACAGTCGGTGTGCATCTGAAGTTTTTTTTAGGCAAATTTGTCCTCGGGATTCAATGAAATAGAAGATTGAAAAACTTCATTATTACAGTTTCCTATTACTAGCAAGAATAAGTGTGCGTCTAATTTTTTTAAGAAAATTTATCCTCGGGATTCAATAAAGGAAAAAGTTGAGATAGAGCCGAGGCTCTAAACAATCAAATTAGAGCCCATCTCAAAAATTTCACTATAAGAGGTTGTTTTGATGCCCAAATATCCTCAAATTGATCATCTTGACCTCATGATGCATGGACATCAGAAAAAATTATTTTCAAAATAGTGCATCTTATAACGTATTTTTGGACCGTCAATTTTCAAGATTTTCAAAGTTTCATAGATATGATCGATCTATACTATTTTTTAAGCTTTAAATTTTATAATTAAAGATAAAAAATATTTTGATGCTATCACAAAGATTTTAGTATTCAAACCACAATTCTCAATATTATTTGAAGATAGGCCTTACTTTCATTGTTTTGAGCCTAGGCTCTATACAAATAGAAGATCGAGAAACTGTCTTGACTGCACAATTACCGCAATATTCTAGAGTTGCCTCTTTCTTAAAGAGAGAAATTCGCAATAGGTTTGAAAAATGGTAGAAAACTTGTCAACAAAAGGAGGGATTCAAACCCCTATTTACAGAGAGAAGAAATGTCATTTCAACTTCACACAGCTCGCATAGAATATTTGCCTACTTTGCATAGGCTTTCTTTCCTCATTTCTTCAAATACTAAAATAAGATTTCTTATATTTAAGCATGGTTTTTTAGTTTTTTCTTCAGTGGATAAAACACCTATAACTTGTCTCTACAAATTAGTCAGAATACACTTGTCAATAATATTATAATAATTAAAAAATATATTATATTACAACACAAGAGAGTGAAGGACACTCTAATACGAAGATAGACCACTCAAAGCCATTAATATTTAAGGAATAGGATTGCATACTATAAGATCATTTATTTTTATATAAAGAGGTCACAATCACTTTTAGCCATTGAATAGAAAGTCTATTTGGTATAAGAATGTCACAATCACTTTTTGTCATTGGATATTAAATTCAATAGACGAAAGTGTCACAATATTTGAACAATTTTATTTTTCGTCTTTGTGCCTTAACAATAGCACTTCTTCAAATACCTGATTTTAAATCTGCCTAATTTCAAATCTAACAATCAATGATAATTACGACCTTATATTAAAATAAATTATCTTATTGTATGCATTTCCTTAAGAAAGGAATATGGCATTTATAATATCAGTTTATTTTGTGAATTTGGACCATGTGTACCGCACAAAATTTTTTCGTTTTAGTCATTCTAGTGAAACTTCTTTAACATTCACAATTGGTCTTAGGGAGGAACAACTCTACACGTTCAAGCCATGAGAGTCAGACTAAAGGTTACCTCAGAAGCATTGTTCGTCTCCGAGCTATGGTCATATTATTATCATGCACTTGTTGTGTATGATATAATGATATACAAGTGCAACACCTATAGTTCTTCTCCAAACCGATGGTGGAGATGAGAAGTAAATCTCTATATTACGGGCAAGCTTTTTATGCTTCTCCTACTATATAAAACTTATATATATCCCCCACCCAATAGACGCCTGAGATGGCCTCAATCACAATGTCACATCTCTATAGTTTTTTATTTTTAATTTTTTTCTACAAATTATTTTGACACCAAATTTTGGGCATCCAATCATCTCTTAAACTCACACTTGTAAAAAATATAAACAAAATATTCTCAATAAAACAAAATAACTAAAATACCCTTGAAAAGTTTCAAGAGGTATTTTAGTCATTATATTTATTGTAAAATTCTTTTTAATATTTTTTAAGTGCGCCCCAGTGAGAAGATGACCTGTACCAAATTTGATTATCATACAATTTATAGAAAAATTAAAAATAAAAGACTATGAGGCATCAGATTTGATCAAATGGCCAGTGTCTCACTTGATCTAAATTGGATGGCTGGATGGGAGGCAATTCTATGTTGTAGGGGGAGTATAGAAACCTTTCTCTCATGTTACTCTAATTTTTGATATTTCCATTTTCCCACTAACCATTGTACTTTGAAAGATTATCTAACGTAAATTTGATGAAAGAGAGTGGCTTTGAAGTTTGAACTTAGGTGGTTTGTTAAAAAGTAGGGAGCATAAAAGTTTGGCTTTTACCTATTTTCTCGACTTTTTATATGATCCACAAGTAACCATGTTATGGTCATATAAGAACTGTAGTGCCCGACGTCTCTATTAGATCTATATAATGCATTTGGCACTTCCCAGCCTATTTAAAGCATTAAAAGACATGTGGTTTTGTTAAATCCATCATCATCAGACTTCTGTCAACTATTTGGGGTTGGTTATATCAATCCTTGGCTCTATTAATGGTCATACTATTAATGAGGTAAAACGCCCTAACAGAATGCAAATGGTATAGATTAGGGGTTCGAGAAATATTTTGGCTAAGTTTTACAATTGATGCCTACTTAACACAGCCCACCTCGTTTATCTGATCTTGGGACCGGTTAAGGAAAACTTTAAGGTCGTTAACTAGTTCAGTAAATTCTTAGCAAAACATGCATCAAGGAAGCAGGCTTTATCCTATTATAAGTCCACCAAAGAAAATGGAAAACAAGGATTCAAATCAATTAGAAGAAAAAAAAGAAAGAAGCCACACTATCTAGTTTAAACTTCAAAGATAATTTACATCAACATTCCTTAATGCAAATAAAAAAAAAACAGCAATTGAAAACTGAAATGGCTAAATTCGGCAACTATAAGAGCCAGATTTAAGAAACTTGCCAAACATTTAACATTCAAATTATCTTATTGTATCGAAAATGCAAGTTAATCCATTCATAGGCTAAAATTATATCCATAAAATGTAATTCTATAAGAAGGAAAATTGCTAGTCGATCGAGGTACTCAACCAAAAATCATAACAAAACCTTAGAGCATGCCATTTTTTTGATAATGCTATGAACAATCATTTCTACCATTGCTTTAAGGTGACCTTAAATCAAGGCCTAAAGCTGTGAGTGAAACGTTTAGAGAGAGAAAAAACCTAAAAAGCCTATAGAGAGATAAAACTTACCACCCTCTTGAGAGAAAGAATGATTGTACTTCAAAGTCCAACCCCTTCTGTTGATGATGAAAAATAAAGACTCCAATTCATCCATTTAAAATCCACTAGAGAGAAATATCCACTCTAATTCATCCATTCAGACCTAAAACAATAGTAGTATTTCAAAATCCATACCTTAAATCAAGACCTAAAACCATGAATGAAAAGTTTAGAGAGAGAAAATGTCCAAAAGTTTAGAGAGAGAAAGATGAAACTGACCACACTCTTGAGAGAAAGAATGGTTGTACTCCCAAATCCAGCTCAAGATTAGAAAAAGTGGACTAACCATCTCATTTGCCCTGCCTGAATGTGATGGGTAAGGAGGGGTAGGTAGCCAAGTTCAAAATCCAGCCCTAAATCTTGGGCCCCAAGAGATTATCGCGCATACTAGAGTGAGGGAGAAACAAACCCTAGGAACTGGTGATGCAGTGGAAATGGAGAGAGAGAGAGGAAATCGAAGAAGGATAAAGCTTTTGAGGATTGTGCCCGTTGCCAGAGAGAGAGAGAGAGAGAGAGAGAGAGAGGGAGAGGTGGGCACAGAGAGAATTTGGAAGGAAATGAAAATGAGAGGGCCAAACAAGGGGAGCATGTTCTTTGGGTTTCCCAATTTCACATTTAAACTCGATTCCAATATCTGCACCATCTATTTTATTGGACGGTGGATTAGCGTGAAGCTCTTATTGTGCGGTTTGAGCTTCGGCTGTATATAAACGTTTTCTTTTAATTAAAGTAAATTAGAGATGAAAATGTTATACATGTACCTATTCCTTATAGATAGATAATCACCAACAAGTTCTGCCGTTTGGAATCCCATTGATCTTTGCTTCAGCTCTATTTCAAATACAATAACTACAACAATACTCGAAGATTCCCCTTATAACATTTAAGATACATTTATATCATCACTTATGTCAATCATTTCAAATACAATAACTACAACAATACTCGAAGATTCCCCTTATAACATTTAAGATACATTTATATCATCACTTATGTCAATCAATTCAAGGTCACACGATAGACTCGTGTTGTGATATATAATAGTCAATTTATTTGGATCACACGATGTCATATTCCCAAAATGATTTTTTAGATGCTCTAAGGAACTATTTCAATGGTACTTCGTAGTCTTCAATTTTCCTCCTTATAAGAAAAGCATATGTCCTCTAGGTTAGTCTCAAAACACCCCCTATATCGAATTACCAGGTGTACTCCCTCAATAACCATTGTTGATGCTATTGTATCAATGAATTCGTGTTACTAAAATTCGAGTTATAGAGAATAAATAAAACATATCATTAGAAAAAGGGAAAGTATAGAATGAGACCATTTACCTTTGGAACAAGGTGAAACATCAATCATAGATTCCTCAAAACCCTTGTTTGGATAAACTATACAAAACTTATTGATTCCTTACAATCATTTTCATGTCCATTGTTTCGTAACAAAATTTGATACATTTTTTCTCTCTAAAATTATAATATGCTTTCTCACTCTAAAACTCAAAATTTGGGATAATCTCCCTCAGTTTTCATAACTCTTTTCCTATCAAATATTATGTAGAGAAAATACTAAATCAAATTTAATAAATTTCGTACACTTTTCCTTTTTGAAATCAATTAAAATCTCTACACGAACTCTATCTTGGAAGGTTTCATTCAATTGCATGCTTTATGACACAAGACACAAAATAGGAAGGTGAGAAAATAAGGTGGGGCGCACCACCTTATGGGTGGCCATGTGGGACTCACGCCCCACTAATTGGTGGGCTCAATAAATCTCAATTGACTCCCAATATATAAAGTATAATTTACAAGTATTAAAATAAATTTATTGACGTCATCAAACATTTTATTTTTCTCTGATTAAAATAAAACCAAAAAATTAAAAATTTAATTTAAAACTTATTTTTCAAAAAAAAATATACCAGAGAGGTCTTAAAATTCATTTTAATTATCATAAAAATAATTAAAACATATTTAAACAGATCCAAGAAGAATTAATGGGAATTGGATCTATGCAGTTAGGATTACAACAAATATATTGATGACTTCATTCTTTTTGGAAACGTATCTCACTGAACCTTTTAGAACATGCTCAATAGTTTGCTTGACCCACAACACTTTGCAGGGGATCATGATTGAACTATCAAAGTCAACCAATAGAAGAAGGAGACACGATCCTAGTTCGTTGTTTACATTTCACTCCCTGAGGTCAAGTCCATGCCCCATTCCAATACTATGCTCCATGGGCCCTTCCAACATAGTCCAGTGTTGCAGAGAGTCATCTTTGAGCCGTAGCCAATCAAAGCTCAGATGAGTCTTAGTACTGACAGTGCCTTATAGTCTTAAGTGGGCCACACTCCCACTAAAGCCAACATTTCACTATAATGCTTTTAGTACATGCTCTGATATGACTTTAAATGACCAAAGAACCCCAACATCTCCCACTTGGCCTTTGAAGACCTTACAATCTCTCTTCTTGACTCTTTCTCAGCCCATTCCCATGTATATGTTTGGCGAACGTATTTGCCATCAACCCTTTGGTCAAAGGGTTTGCAAGCATGGTTTTGTGTTAGGATACGTGACCTCTATCTCGTCGAGTTGGACGTCGTTCCGGCTATGGTGATAATGTGCTTTGATTTCTTGTGAAAACTTGGCTCCTTCATCACATGGTCTCCAAACTGGTTGTCACAAAAGATTCTCACACAGGAAAAACTCATAGGCTCGATCATGAGTTGATTGTAAAACCTTTTTTTCCATACAACCTCCTTGGCTGCCATACTACACGCCACATGTTCAGATTCAATGGTGGAATGGCTATTACGTACTGCTTCTTGGACTTCCAAGAAACTGCCCCACCACCTAGCATGAAGATATAAGCAGATGTCAATTTCATATTATCAGGGTTTTTTTGATAATCAGCATCTGAGTACCCCTGTATGATTATGTTCGACAGGCCTCCATATGTGAGTGCATAATCTGCGGCCCCTCTCCAATATCTGAGTACTCTCTTAACCGTTTTCCAATGTTCCAATCTAGGGTAGCATTAGAAATGGCTAATCACTCTCATGGGAAATGACAGGTCTGGCATTGTACTTGACATGGCGTACATGAGTGACCCCGCTGCGTTGCAATAAAGCATTCTCTCCATGTCTTTCCTCTCAACCTTATCTTATCACTTGAGCACATTTGCAGGCTTAACTTGGTCTTATTGTCTATAAGGGTAGATATGGGCTTACATTTGTCCATTTCAAAATTTTCCAACACCCTTTTGTAATAGGTTCTTTGGGAAAATTGAATGGTCCTATTTTACTTGTTTCTTGTTATCTTTATGCCCAACACATATGATGCTTCCCCTAAGTCTTTCATATCAAAGTGTTGCGAAAGGAAATCCTTAGTCTCCTTTACTAGAGCCATCATGGTACGAGCTACTAACAGTCAACATATCATCCACATACAATGAGAAACACCACATCACTTCGACTTGCCTTGAAATAAATGCAGTAATCCTCTTGACTGGAAATAAAATCTGCTTTAGACAAGGTCTCTTGGAATTTTATGTACCACTGTCGCGAAGCTTGCTTAAGGCCGTAAAGGGATTTTCTAAGTCTACAAACTAAGTCCTATTTATTTTTTCTATGAAGCCCTCAGGTTGTTTCATATAAATTTCCTCTTCAAGCTCCTTATTTAGAAAGACTGTCTTTACATCCATTTGGCGGAGCTCAAAGTCAAAATGGGCTACTATGGCAATCAAGATCTTAATGGATGGAAATTTAGCAACTGGAATAAAGGTTGCATTGTAGTCTACGACTTCTTTTTGGGTGAAGCCTTTGGCTATAAGTCTAGCTTTGTATTTCTCAAGTTTTCCCTTAGAGTTCAAATATTTCTTTAACACCCACTTGCATCCCATAGGTTTTCAGTAACGAGGTAGAGGCATTAATATCTAAACCTGGTTTTGAATAATGGAGTGGTATTCTTCATTCTTGGCATTTTCCCATTGGTTTTTCTCATGACTGGAGAAGGCTTCTTTATAGGTTTTAGGCGCATTATCATATTCATCCCCAATTCTCTCATAGTGTTCCCTAGGTAAGTGAAGAATTTAGGTGGTGTTTTAATTTGGTTGCTTCTTCAAGGGTTTGTGGTTCTGGATCTCGAGTCTCAACCTAGTCATTCAGCATCTCAAAAAAATAGACTTTCTTGTGATTGCACTTTTCTTTGAGAAACTCGTCCTCAAAGAAATGGGCATCCTATAGTTAACAATCTAAAAAAAAAGCTAAGAAATGGGTATCCGTACTCTCTAGGATTGCCCCATTTTTTAGGTTGACGAAACAGCCCTTACCATGTTCTAGGTATCCTATAATTATGCACTTTACGGTATTCCATTTTGATATGGGATGAGAACATAGGCTGAGCATCCCCACACCCTTAAATGGTCAAGGGATGGAGATCGACCAGTGAATATTTTGTGTGGAGTAAGTGGGGCTGTCTTAGTGGGAGAGCAGTTGGGAATATTATATATCATTGTAAATACTGCTTCTCGCATGAATTCTAGGAAGAGCTTTGCATGTCCCATCATTCTTCGCATTATTTCTACCAACGTCCTATTACATCTCTTAGCTACACCATTTTGTTGTGGTGTAAATGGCATTGTAAATTGATGAATTATGCCATGCTCTATGCATATTTCTCTAAAGAGTTGTGGAGAATACGTACTGCCTCTATCGGTTCTTAGGACTTTTCTTGTTGATTTGGTTTCTAACTCAGTTTTATATTCCTTAAAATCGTCTAGGGCTTCGAATTTGAAATGTACTAAATAAATGTAGCCATATCGTGAGTAGTCATCTATGAAAGTGGTGACATATTTCTTGTGGCTTTTGGTACTCACATTCATGGGACCGCAAATAACACTGTGGATGAGTTCTAAAATGTCAGACCCTCTTTGAGCTATCATAAAGGGTTTCTTTATCAATTTTCCTTGCACACGTGATTCACATACTTTGGATAAGTCGCCCTTATAATTTTCAAATGAACCATCTCTATTTAATCTCTCCATTCTTTTATGGTTTATGTGCCCTAATCTCATGTGCCACAAGTAAGTATCATTTTCACATTAAGAGGACGAGAAATAAGCAACTTGATTCTTTGTTGCAATTTCAAATAGACCATCATTTAGCATGCCGATCATAACAACTTCTCCATGAGTTTTAACCGTCACATTTTTAGCAGCAAAAATGGTGACATAGCCTGTCTTAGCTAACTTTGGAACCGAAATCGAACACTTCATCTCTGGAGCATAAAGTTTTTGCTTTAGGACCATTACACCTCGATTTTTCAGATTCATAACATAGTCCTCAAATTTCAAAATATTAGTTTTTATGAATTGCTTACAAGGGTCCACGAGTTGGAAATTACGGTATCCTTCCTTAGAGTTTGACACATGGGCTATAGCACCTGAGTCAAAACCCTAAGTGGCACCCTTGGAATCAGCTATTATAGATTCAAACACCACACAAGCATGTTCTCTATTCCCCCCATCATTATTCTTTTTCTCTCTACAGAATCTAGCTATGTCCCACTTTACCGCA